GCTGTGAAGCTTCTCAGGGAGGCCGGAACGGAGGCGGCGGCGCTTCCGGGCGGAGGGAGCGGAGGGATATAACAGCGGCGGTGCTGCGGCCGCGCCTCTTCCGCCGCTCCCTCAGAGCCGCCATGGTGAGCGCGGCGTGGCCGCAGAGCCCGGGGGGCTCCGGGGGCGCTTCGGGGGGCTCGGATGGGGCTCAGAGGGGACCGAGCGGGCTCGGAAAGGGATGTAGGACCCATATGGGGCGGGGGGTGCTGAGAGGAACCGCCCGGGGGGGCTTTGGGGGGTGTGCGGGAATGGAGGGGAGCGTGGGAGAGGCCGTGAGGACCTCGGGGCAGGATTTGGGGGATTTTGAGGGGCTCGGAGAGGGATGTGAAGCCTTGGAGAGGAACGTGGGGTCCGTGTGGGGCGGGGGATGCTGAGGGGGCCCTTGGGTGGGGGTTCATGGGGTCGCTCTGATGGCCTCGGGAGGGGCTTTTTAGGGTTTCGGGGGGGCTCTGAGAGGGATGTGGGGCCCTTATGGGGCGGGGGGCGCTTAGAGGAGCCCTTGGGGTTTCGGGGTGGGGCCGGGAGATGCTTTTTGGGGCGGATGGAGTCAGCCCTTATGGGGTCGAGGGGTCACGAACGGGGACCCGCGGGGGGTTTGGGTTCTCGGGGTTCTTTACGGGGATGAACCGGGAGGGTTCTCCGCTGTCCCGGGGCTGATCCCAGCCCTTTCTCCGGTGCAGACCAAGAAGAGGAGGAACAACGGGAGGGCCAAGAAGGGCCGCGGGCACGTGCAGCCCATCCGCTGCACCAACTGCGCCCGCTGCGTGCCCAAGGACAAGGCCATCAAGAAATTCGTCATCAGGAACATCGTGGAGGCCGCCGCCGTCAGGGACATCTCCGAGGCCAGCGTGTTCGACTGTGAGTTGGGGAAGGGCTTGGATACACCCCAAAACAGCCCTTTTTTGCCCCCAAAATAGTCCTTATTTCACCACAAAACAACCCATCTTTCACCCCAAAATAGCCCTTCTCTCACCCCAAAAATAGCACTATTGTCACCCCTAAAGAGCTCACCTTGTCACCCCAAAACCAGCCCCACTGTCGCCCCTGAATAACTCATCTTGTGCACTATGTCACCCCAAAAATAGCCCCTTTTCACCCCAAAAATAGCCCTTCGTTCACTCTAAAACAGCCTCATTGTCACCCCTAAAGAGCTCACCCTGTCACCCTAAAATAGTCCCTTTGTCATCCCCTAAATGGCCCCCTAAATTCCTCCCCTGCCTGGGTGGGGTTAAGACTGTCCCGGGGGGGAGTTGGAGTCTCTGCTCTGTCCCTGGGGTTGTTTTTGGGGTCCCAGGGTGTATTTTTTGGATCCCAGCAGGTGTTCTTGGTGTCTCTTGGTGCATTTTTGGGGTCCCACGGGTTGTTTCTCGTGTCCCCAGATGCATTTTTAGGGGTCCCTGCTTTGTTCCTGCGTGCATTTCTGGTGTCCCCAATGCATTTTTTATATCCCCAGATGCGTTTTTGGGATTCCTGGGTGCATTTCTGGTGTCCCCGGACACGTTTTTGGGATCCCTGGGGTTGTTTCTGCTGTCCCAGGGGTTCTTTTAGGACCCCAGGGATATTTTTGGGGTCACTGACCCCCCAATTTCCCCCTCCCCAGCCTACGTGCTGCCCAAGCTGTACGTGAAGCTGCATTACTGCGTCAGCTGCGCCATCCACAGCAAAGTGGTGCGGAACCGCTCCCGCGAGGCGCGCAAGGACCGCACGCCCCCGCCCCGCTTCCGCCCCGCCGTGAGTCTGGGGGCGCCCTGGGGGGGTTTGAGGGGGTCCCCGAGGGGTTTGGAGGGGTCCTGGAGGGGTTTTGGGGGTGCAGGTCTCCAGGGGTTAGAGGGGCATCCCGCAAGGACCGCACGCCCCCGCCCCGCTTCCGCCCCGCCGTGAGTCTGGGGGCGCCCTGGGGGATTTGGTGGGGGTCCCCGAGGAGTTTGGAGGGGTCCCCGAGGGGTTTTGGGGGTCCCAGAGGATCCTGGAGGGGTTTGGAGGGTGTAGATCCCATGGGATTCAAGGGGGATCTTATAAAGACCCCACGCTTCCACCCCGCCGTGAGTCTGGGGGCATCCTGGGGGGGTTTAGTAGGGTCCCCGAGGGTCCCAAGGGGTCCTGGAAAGGTTTTGGGGGGTCCTGGAGGGGTTTTGGGGGTGCAGGTCTCCAGGGGTTCAAGGGGCATCCCGCAAGGACTGCACGCCCCCGCCCCGCTTCCGCCCCGCCGTGAGTCTGGGGGCGCCCTGGGGGGTTTGAGGGGGTCCCCGACGGGTTTGGGGGGTCCTGGAGGGGTCAAGGGGGGGCAGGACCCCAGGGGTTTTGGGAGGATTCCACAAGGATCGCATGCCCCTGCTCCACTTTGAGTCTGGGGGTGACCCGGAAGGGTTCTGGAGGGATCTGGGGAAGTCACAGGGGTCCTGGAAGGGTCTGGGGGACTCATAGGGGGTCCTGAGGGGGTCCCTGAGGGGGTCCCAGAGGGGTCCTGGTGGGTCTCAGAGAGTCCTGGGGAGGTTCTGAGGTGCTGGGGTCTGGTCTGGGAGGGGTCTCAAGGGGGTCTCAGGGCTTTTAGGGGTTCTGGGGGCATCTGGAGAGGCCCGGGAGGCTCCTGGGAGGTCCTGGAAGGATCCCAGGGACTTTGCGGGGGGTCCTGGAGATGCGTGAGAGGGTCCCAAGGGGTCCTGGATGGGTCCCGGGTGGTTTTGGGGGGTCCTTGGTGGGTCG